CGTTTTTGTAGGCATTAAACTGCCAGAATTTTAAAAGACGATATCTCCGTTTGCATTGAACTTTCAGCTTCGTAACTTTGCATATATTGTTTATGCTCAAACAGCAACATTACACACTAACTAATGTTAAAAAAGTGAAATCGCAATCAACCACCCCTTTAAGTCATTTCAACTTAAATGACATTAAACTGGCTTAGAAAAATGAGTTGAACCATATACATGCAAATTAAAGTAGAAAATTGCTTATTGCTTATAACTTATTTTGATGAGATAAAGTAATGTAAAAACACGTCATAATTTATTGGTCATATAATTTTTTACAGTGTATACATCTGATGTTTTCACCAGAAGATCCAGTTGTCTGATTAAACATTATGAGGTCAAAACAAAAATAAATAAATTTACAAAATAAAAATAAAATAAAATCTTCATTTTATACCGACTTTATTAATACACAGTATGGGATGTTAGTTAGATTTTCAAATAACTTTGCATGAATGATTTAGCAAGTCTTTATTATTATATTATATTATATTATATTATATTATCTTGTCAATATGTGTCATTTATTGAATGACACATATTGACAAGTATGTCAATATGTTTTGACATACTTAAAATTCATTTATCACACCACAGAACTATTTAAACCATTCCAAAAAGCTGAAATGTGATTAAAATAAAGAGTAGTTTGTGTTTAGTTTGTAGATCTGGTTTTAAAAAAAAATCTAAATGAAACATATTTATATGCTATCATATTTTCTTTGCCGTTTCTTCACAGTGTTTTTGGGAAGATTAGTCCAGTCACTGGGCTCAAGATCTCAGCACGGGATGCAGTGATTGTGATGGAGGTGAATGAAAGTATTTACGGGAACACAGAGGACAGGAGTCAGGAGGTGAGTGTGTTTTGCATCTCTCAGCTCGGTTAGCGGTCTGTGTGCTGCTTTAGCTTCACTGCGCCTCCACTTCGCCCGCCGGTTCTGGAACCAGATCTAAACAAATGTGATACACAACTGGACTTGTAGGCAAACTTTATAAAGCACACATTTCGTAAACTTTCATTAAACATTTATTATATATACAATAGATAGATAGATAATTTATCTGTTTTTTTATGTCTTTTATCTATTTCTTTTTCACACCTTTTATTTATTTATTTATTTTTTGCTTAAATAGCCCAAATATTGAGGCAAACTTTGTGAAGCAAACATTTCAAAAAGTTTCTTAAAACTACAAAAAAAATGAAATAAAATTATATATATATATTAAGGTGTTGTATTTACAAAAATTAAAATGTAAAAAAAAAAAAATTATATATATATATATATATGAATTGTTTTAATATATTAATATTATATATATATATATAAAGATATTATATTAAGGTATTGTAGTTACAAATATTGATTGAAAATGAATATATTGAATATAATGAATTTTGTCTATGTTTTCATAATACATGGTGTAACATGTAACATATATATACAGTATATATATATATATATATATATATATACACAAATATTTGCATATTATATTATATTTTGTCAACATTTGTACCTTCATGTAAATTCATTAATTACTAAAATTACTAAAAGATATTACAATTAAGAATAATCTGTGTTCAGTTACTACTTATTAATTATACACTTTTACTTATATGCCTGCATAATAAAATTTAAACTACCCATATTTTCTGAAATGATACCCTGGTCATAGAAAACAAGATTATCCAGTGTCAGTTCATATATTTGAAGTAGTGTGTTTTCAGCAGACAGTGTATTGTACCTGAACTCTTCCCTCAGACAGCTGCGTTCGACAGGCGAGCTGGTCTCTGGTGTGAACGTCAGGATAGTGTGTTTCCTGAAAAACTCTCTCCAGCTCCTCCAGCTGGCTCATGGTGAACGTGGTCCGTACCCGTCTGCGCCCGGACCGACGAGCTACCATCAGAATATAATAGCTCTCATAACTTCAGTAAATACATTCAAATAGGTTTAAAAGCTAAGAAATAGTATATTTTTTCTTAGCCCGATCAATACACAAGCTGTAAAACCTATTCAAAAATACAATGAAAGAGAAAACTAAAAAGAACACACCTGTGAATGGACTGATTTTAGGAGTGTCCGTCTTTATCTTGGTCTGTGTACATCCAGATGTTTTAAGTTTCTTGTCTGTTCTGTCAGGTCGGACAGGTTTTTTCAGCATTTCTTCAATAGAGTGTGACAGACGTTTTGGGCTGTTTGTGGCCGTCCTGCTCTCACGGGATGACGTCTCCACGTGTTTCTCTAACTCCACATCATCTAATTGCATTGTCTTTGAATCTTCTTCAGTGTCTCAAAAGTTCAGGATACTATCCCAGAATGACTTGAAGCTGTCCAGCTTTTGTGTAATAGTAAGCAGCGTGAGTCTGTGTGTGTTGATATGACTGAAGCATTCATAGGAGGAGCAGCAGGTTTACTGTGTAACAAACCTCCTCAGTCATAAATGCTCTACCTCATCATGAACTGGTGCACATTTTACATCTCTGTCCAAATCACCAAAGATGTGAGATTTTGGTTTATAGATTGTGTAACATCTATTGGCACTTGTAGCAATGTAACAAGGTTTGCACTATTGGCACTATTGGGATTGGTTACTAAACACAGCGTAGCAATCATCACAACTTCTTGTTAAGTTTATTAAAAGAGCATTTTATGTAAATTATGACAACAGTTTTTAATTAAGCAGTGTTATTTTGGCAAACCCCTCTTCGTTAATGGTTTGTAGTGTACAGATGTGTGTGAGAACAGTAGCTGTTTATGCAGCACCTAGTGACGCTTCTTTAGACGACAGCGACATCAAGCGGTCAGCTCTAGAATTACACGTTTATTAAAGCTGCTGGATGCAATGATGAAAATTAAAGTTGCTGGATGCAATGATGAAAATCTAAATTGCATGTCTTTTTAGCCTATTAGGTCATCTATATTGCTAGTGTACAGAATACATATTTACATGCATCTATTACGTACTTAACAGACATATAGTTAAATTGCATTTAAGAGTCTTATTGGACAAAAAAAAAATTGTATATATGCATTAAATAAGAAATTACTTATTTTATAATTTAGTATTGGATATCTACAGCAGGATTATTATAGTTAACTAAAACTAAAACCATACATTTTTTTTTTTCGTGTATAAGAAACATGAAATAAAAATAAAATAAATTAACTGAAATAAAATAAAATATAAAAAACTTTTTTTATTGCAGCTAGTTGCTAAGGCAGCATTTCTCATTTGAACTAAAAAATATATATAACAAAAACACACAACAAAAATGTTTACCAATTGAAATGGAAATGGAAAAAATTAAATAAAAAATTATATAATATATAATAAAAACTATAATAGCATCTCAATAACACTAATATAATAACACATTAAATAAAAAATAAATATAAATTCTGTTTTCTGTGATATGACCTTTTTAACTCTTCATGTAGTTCCATTTGACAGTCACTTTATTTCATGCATATATGACTATAAATAGGCATATATCATACTGAAAATTGATGAGGATAGTTAAATATAAATGAGGATAGTTAAAGTGCTTATATAGTAAAGGATTGTTGATTTAGTGTCTCTCTCTCTCTCTCTGTGTGTGTGTGTGTATGTGTGTGTGTGTGGTATACACTGTATACCACCCTCTCTAGCAGACGTTGCGGGAGCAGAGTACAGTAGGGTGAAAGTCATTTCAAATCCTCGTAGAGCCTGAGCTGAATAATTCACAAAACACAAAACTATTTATCCACACACTTCTAAAAGTCCTTCTGTGGAAACACAGGAGCAAGGCCACATATGCAGTGCAGAAGTCCTTCATGGACGACTCCAGGGAGAAACATTCATCTATATTTTATCACGTCGAGCGCGTTTCACCTTTCTGGAAGCACTTGGAAGTCTTTTACCCCCAGAGACACTAGATGGCATCCTTAAGACATCAAAAGCAGTGTGTATTTTATGTAAATCAGTCTCAGGAACCATTTAAATGTGTCTGACTATATCAAATCCTGTTCTGATGCTGTATGTGAAATTTTATAGCTCTAAATCAAGAAAAAAATGTAAATCAATATATTCATAATCATAAATTAAAGCATGGGGAGGCTAAAATCCATATCACACCTCAATCAGAGCAAAATCAAATATGTATGTGTGTGTGTGTGTATTTGTTTATGCTACACTGAGGGGACCAAATGTCCCCACAAGGATAGTAAAACCTGAAATTTTTGACATTGTACGAGGGAAATAAAATAAAAAAAAATAGTAAATGATGTTTATCTGAAAACAATGCATACAGGTTTTCTGTTTGGGGTAGGTTTAGGGTTGGGGGAAAGAAAATATTGTTTGGTCATGATAAAAGTAATAGAAGTCTATGGAAAGTCCCCACAATTCACAGAAACAAATGCACTGTGTACATAGAAAAAGTCTTAGATCTTTGAGTTCAGCTCATGAAAAATGGGGGCAAAAACAAAAGTGTTGCGTTTATAATTTTGTTCAGTGTAGAAATTGGCAGGATGTTGGAATTAAATGTTGCAATTAAAATATTTAAATTTAATATTTTTTAATTACAATTAATTAAACAATACAATGTGGGCGATTATTTATGCAATTTATGCTAAATTAAATTAACTTAAAATTAAATATTAGAGTTTTTTTTTTTTTGCTGATGCCATATTTATTTTTAAGATGTTACTGTTTGAATTAATTATGACCATTCAGAATGAATTGTCAGAATGGCTTATAGAACTTCTTTTGTATTTTTAGTACCAGTCAATCAGCATGCTGAGTCAGATCTGTTTTATATTAAGCTGCAACATGGGCATTGTGTATATAATGCACTATGCCACTCCAAGCATACTTAGCATGCTATACTAAATTGATTATTGTAAGAATATGTGAACAGTTTTCTTTTCGGCTTCACTTTCTCTTTCTTTCCTCTCCGGCATCTGCTGCTCCTCTGACAGTCGACCTTTTCTCCCTGAGTCTCGGCTGTAATCTGTCTCTCTGAGAGGCAGGAGTTGTGCCAGATAGCTTTATTTCTGCAGTATGAAGCAGCAAATGGATTACACATTCAATTAACACACAATCCCTCCTGCACTCGCAGCCTCACGGTCAATTTACATCCCGACAATACGGCACGGTTTAACAACACCAATATTCCCTTACAGCAGCGGTTGCCAACCTTTTATGACCTGAGACCCCTCAACATGTTGAACCCAGAGCTCCTGTTATAAAACAAAGTAACTATATTATAATTTATATATTACAATTAGAATTATAATATTTTCAAATGAATATAAATAGATCAAAATAGTAAAATAAATAGATTTTAGAAAATATATGTTATTTTAATATACTATAATTTTTTTTTACAATATTTTTTAAAAATATTTATAATTAATAACAATTTAGAAACACATTAAATAATGTTTTAAGTAATTTGTTTTTATCAATCCACAGTTTCCCTGCAGTACTTTCATGGGCCCCTAGGGGTCTGTGGACCTTCTTTTGAAACCTTTGGCTTTACAGGATGAAATTGAGTTTGTGACAAATAACTCTGAACTGCAAAAGTGTGACAATATCACACCTGTTAACTCTGAGCCTGTAGCTAAAGAGCACAGGTCTGTAAAGTTCTCACAAGTGACAGAAAATTTGGAACATGGCTGTGTTTGGAATGAAACAGCAGCGTAGTGCACACTACATAGTATGTACTGTGTACTGTTTGCTAGCTTTAGTAAGTGAACAGTATGCGAAACTTTGCAATATGCAACATCAAACGTTTTGTATTGTTGTCACATGAAACAATACTGACTGTTAAAATCAGACAAACATTCAAAATGCCATTGCACAAAAAAATGCATTTTTAATCTTTAATATCTAATGTTAAGTTGCATGTAATTTAGCATAAATTGTCTTTATGGTTGGCAGTCTGATCAAATAGTCACTCAAATAAGAAATTAACTTTGAATAAAAACAATGACTATTGTAATTCCAGCATTCTAAATATTCTAAATAAATATAATTAATATTCTAATTAATTTTAAGTTTATTTATTTATTTATATAAAATATCTTAACTTTTGGCAATCTGATCAAATAATCAGATCATTCAAATAAGAATTTTAAATTTACTTTAAACATTTAAAAATGTAATTTAAATATTTAAATTCCAACATTCTAAAGATTCTTACAATTTCCTTAAATTCAAAACTTTTTTTATTTACTGCTATAGTCATTTGTGAAGTTGAATGCGTTGCATTGTGGGATCCGTTATTTCCATGCATACAGATCATTTGCACACTATACATACTGCATATTGCAAAAATAGTATGCTGATATTCTTTTTTCGATGTCATTAGTTACCTGAGGTGCATGCGATTCAGTGCTATTGGTTGATTTATACAGAGCTGTCACAGCCCGTTGGCTCGTCTACTAACAGTCGACACGTCGATGCCAGTCAATTCAGCGAAGGTCGATCTCAAACACTACTCCAGAGTGAAGGCTTTGGCACAGTCTGATGGCACCGCATCTTCCAGGTGGAAGGCATTTGAGCAAGCGCATTTCATGCAACATTAAAGATACTGCAATCAGTCCAAAGTGCACAAAATTCCTTCTGAATATTCGGTCATAATTTTTTCCCAGTTTGACTTTTTTCTCAGATTATAGCTTTGTGTGAAGCACAGAATGATATTTAAGTCATTTATTTACTGATACTGTCACATATACTAATTTAATGGTGCTTTTTAGAGTAAATGGGGACGGAAGTGTAAATGATGACATAATGAACATTTTTTTGGATGAACTGTCTCTTTAAGTGGGTGTTACATTATCAGAAGGGCAGTTAGTTGCTGCTTCTGCATGCTGTATATGGAGGACACACATCAGACTGTTCAGTATGCATCGTACTCTACATGCCTGTATCTATTTTTGACCATCCTTCACTCGCCTAAAGGTTATGTGACTCACAGAATTCCACCAAACAGGCTGGAGTTTCTGTGTGCTGTAGGACCTGCTTCATTATTCCCTCGCTAATTGACCTGTGTCCTGTTCTGTCTCGGTTCTTTGCGTTATTTCCCCTTCAAATCTTAACGGAAAGTTCTTAATCTCGGTAAAGGCACTGCAGTTTCATTGTGCATTCTGTTCACAGTTCACACAGGGAAGCTCGTTTTGGTGCAGACTGGTGGAGTTCGATAGTCTCACGTTTAAAAAAAAAAGTGAGACTATCGTTTTTTTGTGTCATGGCATACATACATTATCACACATATCTGCTTGCATATTTGCATGGCAACCATCTAGAACAGTG